ATTGTCATGTAGACCCACCAAAACAAACCAAAAAGTATTTATAACCCAAAAGAATGAAGTACTAACTCTTAGGAACAGAAGTTGCTCTTTTAGGTTAGGGGCCCCTTTCATTCACTAGGCAGCCACCTAATCAGCTTTCCTTGTAAGGCTAGACCGAGGTATTTTGGAATGTGATTCATTACAAGATGCTTTTTCCTTCTGGCTCATTATACGTGTCTGGTATTGATGGAAGTTTGTACTTTGATCCATAACTGTGGGATAGGATACTTAATAAGCCTGTTTTCGTTTGAACATAGTAGGCTTGGAGAAACTACCTATAAAGAGACATAAACATTTGTAAACTAGTTTTTCTACTGACTAACAATAATCCTAGAGAGTACTATCTTTAAGAATATTTCTGGAATATTATTCATCTTTGTTTTTCAAAGAAGTGTTCAACAAATATTAAGTGAGCAGCTAATATGTGTTCAGCACTGGTGAACAAAATGAACTCATCCCCTACTTTTTGCAGTTCACAACTCCTCACAAGGAAAATAGTAAAAATCTCCCTTGATCAATAATCACATGTAAGTAATGATTTTATGGATATGATATCACATGACTGTAATCTGTTAGTACAGAACCCTTGTTTGAATTTTGTTGTTATATCCAAAGCATATATAGCAAGTACGTAATAGTCACATTGTAGCTTTCTAAATATTGGTTAAATGATCGAATAATTTCAAATGCTGGATTATTATGAAAGATTTTTGAAAATTATAAAATGTGCTACGAATGAAGATATTCCATGGTTTCCTATTTAACTGGTAAAGGTCAACCTTTTTAAAATAGTCTATTAATTTGGATGATGCATCTAATAATTTGATCAAATAGGAGTCAGCTAACGAGTCTGTCATATCCTTAGGCGGGCATTTCATTAAGAGTGTTCATTTTTAAATTTTTAAATGTTGGTTTATTCTTCCTTAGTAACTGTTTGAATACCTGTTCTCATGAAATAGTGTAAAACAATCTTAGGAACCTGTCATAATACAAAGCATATTGGAAAAGATCCTTGGTTCATTTAAAAATATTTAACAGAAATCACCATTTATTAAAAATTATACCAAACATTTAAAAAAGTTTTTGGTAACTATATTTTATTATATGCTTCCAACTTTCGGTAATAACTATCAATCACACAGACAAAATGTGTAGGCTGCCTATGATTACAATTGATTACAATCCCTTTCAGGTTAACTGCAGGCAAATCTAAGTCAGATGGTGGTGTTGTAGCACTGTTCTGCCTGCCTTTGGACCATTCCTGCACAGACCATATTTCTGTTTATGTATGTGCTATGTTTTTAGCTGAGTAAAAGTATGAACCAAAGCAATTCGATATCAAGATGCTGCTCTGTTCTGCACTTATCCTGTATTGACCCAGAAGATTCTGAAAGGGAGGTCTTGAATTCTGCCCCTGCTACAGCTTCTTCAACTCCGAAGTGCTCTCTTTCCCCCTTTTTTCCTTACTGCCCCAACACAATTAAAGATTGCTTCTCTTTAAGAATTTCATGATCATATTCAGCTAATTTTTGGATTGTTTTTTAAATGTGAGAGATACTTTAGGAATGCTGAACTCATTTAGACCAAGGGCCTGTCTTATGCTACAGACATAATTTTCAGCTAGGAGAAAACAACATTAATAGCAACAAAACCATAAATGAAATAAAAATATCTTTCCAAACCAAACAGATTTTTTAAAAAAATATTTCAGCTTTCTTTTGAGCAAATTTCCTTTGAAAGGCTTTGAAAAAAAAACCAGAATCTGTTTATTGTCCATAGTTAGGTTTTTTTTTTCAAACTCATGATCTAATTCTGTCAAATTTTTAAAAGAAGGAAAGAAAAAATTGAACAGAAAGAATGACAGTGGAAGCATCCGTCTTATATGAATTCTATTGTTTTAGTTCCCCAGCAAAAGGTCACTTTGTGAGTGTAAAACCTCAGGAAAATACCATTTTGTGAGAGATGTGTTTTGATCCAGGTTCCTCTTAAATATACTTATCTTGAGGAGGAACTCTTGTGATGTCCTATATATTTCTCCTGTCTCAACTTTATCAGTCTATATTTTTTCACTGTGTTCAATGTCTTACACAACTTTTAAGTACATGCTTTGAATTCAGGCTGTTTTGCCTTGCAGTTGCAAAATAACTTTATCTTTTAAATAATTCTCACATACTTTGCTACAATTCTACCTGAGAATGCAAATGATGTGATAAAATATATTTACTTGTAATTGAAAATAAAGGTGACTTTGCTTTTGGTGGTTAGCATTTCCCCTTTATTCCTGGTAGATTTTTTCTTCTTTATTTTCTTTCTTTCATTGCACATGTTGATCCTTTTGAAAAATGAATGTTTGCCAAATCCAGTCTGAGTTGGAAGGAAAAGTGGGGGAGGGTGGATGCTAAAAATTCTGACCAAGAATACTAGCAGTGATTCCCAATATAGAGATATGTTATATGACTGTTTAAGCAATTAAACCACAATTACACTGATTGATATTATAAATCATGCTTTGGAAAATGGGCTTTTGAGGCTTGTGACATCTAGACCCATTTTTATATTTCACTTGGATCTTAGGAAGAAAAAAAATCAGCACATATGGAAGATAGTAAGAGTTGTTTCTTCCTCTAGTGTGGCCAGTTTTTACGTGTAACTCTACGCTGTTCTCTAGAGACATGAAGCAAATTCATAACCTTGCTAATTTATTTCAAAATGCAGAGAAAAACTGTAATATGCTTTATCTGACATAAGTTTCCTAAATGTAGAGATATATGTTGTCTCCAAGTAATTGATTTGAATCTGTAGTAAAGACCAACAACTTTTAGTTTGGTTTAGATGTGAAATAAACATTTTCAAGAATTTTAGTGGCTTAAACTATTTCTTGTTGAAATGTTTAATCTTCATTTATTTCTAACTTACATTATTGATATTCACCTAATTCCTATTTTATAGACATGTTCACTGTATGTCTGTATTGGTCCTGCTACTGCTGTATCTGATGTGGCTATTAAAGAATACTCAGTAGGGAAATATTAAACAGCATTCATCACATTTTAGTGCAGTGCATTTGTATAAGAAAAATGATGCAAACTTTCTCAGCATTTTGCCTTCTCCAGTAAAATGAAGATTGTGGAAATATCACTGCTTTACAGACTCAAAAGAAATAGTTAAAAAAATTAAATAAGAAACCACATACCTCCAGATAGAGTTAAAAAATCACAATTTTATAATAGTTCTAGTATTTGCTTGATAAATTTACAATGGTATTAGAACACTATTCCAGACAATGAAAGTACTGTGAGCCCTGAGGTTACGTGAGAGCTTGCAAGGAAAATTATAGCTGCACAAAAACATTGTAGACTTCCAAATTTTAAAGGCATTAAACAGTAAGGATAAACACGTACTTTGCTCATTTCCTTGGATTAAGCATGGTATTTTAGAAAGGTGTGCACTTTCCCCATTATATCCATCAAATTTTAGAAACTCAAATTTCAATCTGCACGTAGTCATGAGGAATATTTGACCAGTGTTTATTTACATGGGTTAAAAGAAATCAAAGCACTGAGCACAGCTTGTGGGAAATACCTGATTTGTATATCTGTTTACATTTCAACCGAAATGACTTAAAAGTTAAGAGTCATGATGCTGTGTCTTAGGATATTTGTATTTCAACTGTACTGATTTAATAAGAGAATTAGGAATATACACTTCTGCTTACAATTTTGATATTTAAAGACCCTTCAGGCTGGGATATCTAATCACCAAATATCGGATGTTCCTATGTACTTCTTTGTGGGTTAGAATGACTTTACAGATAATACTTTATTGTATTCTGAAAAGATTTGACTGTCAGTAGGAAAAGGCATATTAAACACAATTCACAATTCATTTTATTTTTTAAGAAGTAAACTTCAATAACTTAGAAAGCTAGAAATAATCTCAATTATAGAACTGAGAAATAGCATGTTAATTTAACCACAACCTGAGACTTCATATAGAAGTCTATTATGTAAAAGATCTGAAAAAATACTGTATAAAATTGGTGTCAAAATGTTCAGTCTGCTGTTTGAAAACTGGCTTTTTTCCTCCTTTAGAATGTATATGCCCCATGCATCACTGTAGATGTGTGTCTATAATATTGCGAAAATGGAGGCTTTTCTGGTAGCAAAAGGGTTAAGTTCTTTTTGCTTTACCAGTTTCAAATTACAATGAGAAGCCTCTTCTTTCCCAGCAGGGTTGTGCTTACATTACTCTTTAGATCTCACTTGAGGAGGGCTGGTATATTTGTGCCTGCTGGAGGTGGAATTAACAGTGAGAAGGAGAAAGGGATTGAATGGATTTATAGGAAGGTTTTCAAGTAAATTCAGGGAAACACATTTACTTGAATAGTACAACCTTGAGTGTTATTTTACACTAAGACGACACAAAAGATGTTAAAGTTATCACCAAGCTGCCGGACAAATCTATATTCCAACACCAAGGTGCAGATCAGCATAGATCTGTGATTCAGAAATCAGGATTTGTCTTGGAAAGAGCTCAAGGGTTGAGAAGAACTCAAGAGCAAGTGAAGATAACCTTGGGATCTACAGTTTATCAGAAGATCAACTTTTGTTCATTCAAATACCAAAGGCCTGATTGTCATAAATTTCTATAGGAATGCATAGGTCATCTGATCAAATAATATTAGACGTCTTCTGCTACATCAATGCAGCAAAAACTCTTAACAACTGTGGATAAGTGGAAATCCGAGTTTCAACTTTGTTAGCAGTAACTACTCTTGACACATTCCAAAATATTTAAAATAAGGCAGGAAAAACAGTAAGGATGTTGTGTTCAGAACTGTCACTGTCATGAAGAATAGGTAAATTTATTTTTTCAGCTACTGAGAAATTGTACCTCCTTGCAACTTAGATTTTTTTTTTTTAAGAGGACAAGAAGGACTAAAAATATCAACTTTTGCTTTTGGACAAAAATGCCTCTGACTGTATTTTTACTTAGGGGTATTGTGGGTTTCCTCTGGAGCTGCTGGTTTCTAGTGGGTTATGCAAAAGGAGGCTTGGGAGACAATCATGTTCACTCCAGTTTTATTTATAGAAGACTACGGAATCATGAAAGACGGGAAATACAGAGGGAAATTCTCTCTATCTTGGGTTTACCTCATAGACCCAGACCATTTTCACCTGGAAAACAAGCATCCTCAGCACCTCTCTTTATGCTGGACCTGTACAACGCCATGGCCAATGAAGAAAATCCCGAAGAGTCGGAATACTTGGTGAGGGCATCACTGGCAGGAGAAACAAGAGGAGCAAGAAAGGGATACCCAGCCTCTCCCAATGGCTATACTCATCGCATACAGTTATCTCGAACGACTCCCCTGACCACCCAGAGTCCTCCTCTTGCCAGTCTACATGATACCAATTTTCTGAATGATGCTGACATGGTCATGAGCTTTGTCAATTTAGGTATGTTGCTCATTTATTTGTTAATCTATGTGATTCTAAAGTGGAGATTTTCCTTATGGTGAAGTAGCTGCCTGGTAGGTGGTCATGTTTATATACAGTCATCTTCTATAACTCTCCTTTCCAGGTTCTGTTTTCTTTCTTCCATTGATGTCAATTTTTGCTTTAGACAATAAATCTATACATCTATATCTATATCTCTCTATATGTGCATAAAAAAAGCTAAAATTAAACACGGTTTGGGTAGAATGGGTTTTCTCAGATCTTGTTAAAATTTCAACCTTGATTAATTATCTGAGTAAGCAAGCAATAGTTTTAGAAAAGTACAGTTTATGAAGCTAGTTATACTATAGGCAAAAATATTAATAAATAAAGGGGAAGCAAGTATTTTTAGGTGGGAAAGTAAAAGTGACATTCTGAACTATTTTTTGTCAGTAACTTAAAACATGTAAGTATATATACTATTTAAAAACTCAGAGGATGTCACCACTATGAAAATATTGATGTGACATTAGCTAAGATTAAATGATTTTACAAAAGACTTCTGTCAGAGAATTACTTGGAGAGAAATTGAATTTTATAAAAAAGTATTTTAGAAAAGATTTCAATTGAATATTTAACTGTAATAATATAACTCATATCTATATTTTTTTTCACATGCAAGAGAAATGTGAAACAAGATTTGATGGTCTTTACAGATACAAAAATTTCCTGTTTAGTTGAAATTAAAAATTAATTGATAAACTCTTTAATTGGCAACATCATAGAAAATGAATTTTAAAATAATGCTTAGTCAAATGCTGGAGCAGTCATGTAGTCTTAAATATAAACAATATCAAATGTTAAATTAATGTCCAGAACTTCTTTTGTTTTAATTTCTTTAAATGTTTTAGTAAGGACTAAAGGTGAAAATTTACTACCTTGAGACATTAAAGGAAAAACATAATTTATTTTTAAAGAGTGAAAATTTAATCAACAAATGTAATCAACTGAAAATAATTGTGAAATTTTAATGTAAGAAGTTTCAAATTTTTGTTTCAAAAATGCAGTTTGCTTTGACTTTAAAAGTTGACACATTTTATTATACACTCAGTTAGACACTCATATAATATCATATAATATCCCAAAGAAAATGTTCTTTGAAAAGTCTAGCAACAAGTCCTAATAAAACATGGATTTTTCTGTAATATATAGTGTTTAATATGCTCTGCTCATTTGCTTTTAGCAATCCTAGCATGAAGGATAAGGTGATTAATAAATCATGTTTCATGTTACTAGAGACACAGCTCTCATTATTAAGTTTTAGTAAGTCATCACTGGTTGCCCTAATCAGGTGTCCTGGAGGCCTCTTTTTCTATCTATAAATTACAAGTTTCACTTGGAACTTTTAATCCATTAGAATATAGTTTAATTTTAAATTAGTTTGATTTCTTTGCCCTAACCTAAGTGACTTGCAAATGTGACGAATGGTACGTTTACCTGGTAGTACTTTCTAAAGTATTACTCAATAATTTATGTAGTTTCACTATTTTAATAGAAAAAATATGATTCACACATTCATAAAATAAATCACTAAAAAAATCAGTTCAAGTTTTCTGTGATCTTTCAGAGAAAAATGGTATGCTGTATGTTTTAGGAAATAATAGCTTAGATTTAAATCTGTCCTGGCAATAGTATTTATTATAATTGAATGCTTTGCTAATTTAAAGAGTATTTGTTTTTCAGAAAATAATTATTATTTTTGAATCTGTATGCCATTAACATTTGTAAATCTACATAAAATAGCAAAATAGTGCACTTCTATATAGAGATTTCTAGAACTGCTTTTATCTTTAAAGAATATATTGATTTCAATTAAAATCAATGGCATCTTGTTTATATTGTTTTGATTATAACAGCATAGCAGTTTAATAACCCTACCATAAAATACAATTATTCATTTTACCCTAGAGAATCAGTATTGGCTATTGGAAATTAAGAAAATATTCATTTCTTTTGTCATGCTGAACTGCTGTAGTAATTTAGCCTCCATAATAAACTATCCTCTCTTTTCTTTTTAAAATTGTTCTAAGCTAAGTATCTCATAAGAAAGTACTGACAAATTGATTCTGAAACTGAGTTTTTTCCTGTGAGTCTCTGAGGAAAATTGAACCACAATTTTATTTTATTATCCTTAGCTCATGTTCCTTAACTATAAAAACCTTGCAACCAATCACTACCTACTAAGGAGCTTTATCTTTTGTACTTGTTCCATAATGAGATAGGTAAATGCATACTTTAAAATGGTTGAAGTATATTATCATTTTTAATTGTACTAAGAATATCAGTGTACTTTATTGTCATTCTTTAACAGATATTTGCAGCTTGTTTCATGTTCTTTTAAGACTCAGAGGACTTTTTTTTTAGTGTCTTAAAAGATGTATTTCGTAAAGTCTAAGGGCAAATGATCAAATTAGCAATAGGCAAGGGATTTGTATTGTGGAAATCACCTGGATATTTAAATATGTGAAAAGAATCTGTTGACATTTTCCATAATAAGATGAATTACATTAAAAGGATCTACTAGTATCCTTTTATTAAAGTTTGCCTTTGTCATTTTCAAATGAAACAGTGGATTTTCTTCAGTTTCATTCAGGAAGTTTTGATCATCAAGAGGAAACTTAATTCAAACTGAATCATGTATATATATTATATGAATTTTCAAATGAAATGATTTTTGGTAGTGTAGTTCTTTAATAATAAAAAACTTATTAAAATTTAAACCTCCTTGCTTGATGATGTCAGGATATTGGGGCAATGCTATGAGAGGTATTAAGATTTGACAGAAATGAATTTTCCCTTTATCAGTGACAAATAGCTAGGATTTATTGAAAGAAAACATAAAATGCAAATAAAATCCCTTAAGGTCACTGTAAATCACTATGAAACCAGACACATCAGTCTTGATCTCTAATTATTTAATTGATTTGTTCTCTTTGAAGGAACACACAATTAATTGTGTAAGAGTAACTTTCCATTCTGTTGTATTCATTATCCTAGGCCAGCTTTTGTCTGTCTCATAGTATCTAGCTTTCCCAGGTTTAGTTCTCTGTTTTGTCACTATTTTTTTGCCTATCATAGAATTGTGAATACCACATTATTTTGTTAGTAATAGAATACCATTGTGGTACTTTTTCTCTTCATAACCATCACTTTTTCAAAAATGTTAAGGATTAGTTTATATATCAAATGCCTTTGAGAAGGAAAGGAATAGTTAAATAATTTGCTTGTAAGTATTCTCCTATTTATATGAAGATAAACATACAATGCATTCCTAAAATCTTTTAGTTTGAAGCCCACTTTTATTTGATTACTTGGTGATATCATTGAAATGATGTAACATTGGAGCTATTTTAGAGGAAATTATAAAAGCTAGTCAACACTAGAAATTTACTTTTAGACTATTCTTTTCCCGCATATATTTCCTTAATAAAATTTACTTTAGGTGTACCCATGGTTTTTGACTCACTAATTAACAGGTTTGGAGTCAAATAACTTCATATGTATATATTTCTCAAGCATAAAATCATATACATATGATGCTTACTTTTTTCGTATTTTATAAAATCATATTTAGCATTTTAAGTAGGAAATAGAAAACAATAATCTCAAACCTTTAAACTTTTCTCCCCTTACTTAGCCAAATCATTAAACTCTTCTGGTTCTGGGGGGTTAGGGATAGGAATGCTTATGTCCTCAGTTGAAAGATTGGAAAGACATCAATGATATTTATTATTATTTATTATTATTTTTGGCCAGCTCAAGTGCCCAGTGGTGAGGAATTTATATACAGACCTGTCTAAAGATGCCTATGTAGTCTCTCCAACAAAGTTATTAACACTTCTGTAACATAAACACATCCATAAACACATGCACCATTTTCTTCTTTTTCTTTTTGGGAGAGATGGAATGAGAGGAAAGATGATTAAAAGCCATGATGATACATATCCATGGATTATGTCTGGAATCATAAATGCTAATATTGCGTACAACAGCATTACTTGAAACTTTTTAACTTTTGAAGAGAAAAGTTCTGAGAGTGCAGACGTTTGATCTCTCTTTTTCAACAACCTTTGTCTTTCATAAATTGACCAAAGGGATTCTTGTTCTCCTTTAAGGCTACTTTATTATCAAATCATGGCCATAACCATAGAGAGAGTCACAGTCATGGTTTAATGAAAAGGTTTTTACACATCTCAAAGATCCTTCACAATTAGAGTTTTAGGAGTTTAGTGGGAAGTAACAGTTGGAAATAAGGAGGTATGATAACTCATGTGTGGGACTCACCATCCTCAGCTCTTTCCCTTCACTCTTGCATTCTTTAAAACATAGCCTCTCTCCTCACCTCCTTCTGCTACCCTCCCCCCTCCGCCCACCCCACCATTTTTGGCCCTTCCTCTTTAGTTCCATGGTCTTTCTAGCCCCAGGCTCTCTGGGCATCCTTCCCCTTACTGCTCCCCCCCCCCAACCTTCCTGGGGTCTGCCTTTGGTGAGCTTTTCGTCATAGCCCAAGGCTTAGATTAGCTGAAAATCAATTAGTTACAGCTTGATCATTTAGGTACAGTCTCCTGTTTTCCCTCTAGTAGAGAAGGAAAAGGTTATGATGTGCCAATGCAGTCTCCACCCATCAGTAGAAAAGCTCCCCAGGCTTCAGAATTGCTCTGACTGTTGCCATCCCCTGTTAATTCTTTCCTCACCATCCATTCTTCTTTGCTTCTTCACCTCTCCCAGAGGATCCTATTGACAGAATTTAATTGTTTTTGCTTTTATTTTTTTTATAACATAATAAAAGTTTAAAAGGGAAGTTTAAGGGAAGCAAAAAAAATGCAAATATGAGCAAAAACAGGACTAATCAAAAATGCCATTCACTTTTAGTTTAGAAAATGCTTTCACTTACACTGTTTTTAATACTCATATTACCTCTGTGAAAGCATTTTCCCTTTTAAAGTGAAAAGAGGTGATGA